ATTTTAAGATGTCTTTTCTTTGCATTTCTTTGCATTTTTTGGAATTATTATTTGAATTACATTCTGCTGACACTAGGTTGGGCTGTGCCCCACCTGCCCCTAATGACCAGTCGCAACTGCTAACCGTTACACTCAAAGACCCCAGGATGTAATTTGTATTCATACATTTTAATTCTCTCATTTAGCTCTAAAGAGGAAAACTTAGAGTCACTGTGGTACCTGTAAGGGTAGGGAGGGTTAACAGTAGAACAGTACAGCTTACAGAGAAGAGAACACATCTGATCCTTTTACAACAAACACTACATGCTCTTTTTGTTTTTTACTAACATTGTAATCCTGTTTGTAATCCCCAATTTCAGAATTGTAAAAGCTGTCTAATTACGTCTAATTTAATGTAACTGTAAGAGAATACAGTTTACATGACATTTTTTGTATCCAGATTTTTTAAACAATCCCACTTGTGAAGAATTAAATAAAGCTGTGAAATGACTCTTAATATAGCGTTCATAAAATAAAATGTAGGTGCTAAATTACATTTAGCTGCTGCCCCCGTCACCAGCACTTGATATGCTGATGATCCATAATCCTGTCTGTATCTCCAAACTGAGGGGGGGGGGGGGGCTTCCATCATACTATACTGTAATACTCTGAATATTGATAACCTTATGAAAACCTCATAACACTTTTACAGATACTGCTGGCAGTTTAAACACAGTTTAGCTTAGTCTGTAGAGGTTGCCGGTTGAAGTCCCTATCAGACCAAAAATACGAAGTGTGGCCTGGTAGATGCAGAGGTTCTAGTTCACCTCCTGGGGACTGAACAAGGTGTCCTTGAACAAGGCACCGAACCCCAAGGGACTGGAACACTGGCAGCCTCTTCACTCCGACGCCACTCCGTAAGTGCATTTCTATAGGTCCTGTAAGTGCATTGGTATGTGTGTCGGGCCTATTTGTGTAATTGTAAAATAACACCAGAGTGATGAACTGAATTTCCCCTTGAGGATAAATAAAGGTGATTTTAATCTTTTATCTTGTTTTTTATTCATCCTCTGCCCAGAAATCGAGGAGAGTATGATAGTTTGACTGTCGGTTGTTGTACATTTCTATTTTTACATCATTCTTCAGTGAATGAGAAATTGCTTCACCATTCTCCCTGCCTTAAACCAGTTTAGCACGGATTAAGACCTTTGACTCCGCCTCAAGCCACCTCTAGCCTTTTACTTTGCCCATGGGCAATCGGTTGGCCATTAGCACCTGGAAAGTGGCCCAGGGACAGCCCCACTGAGGTGTGATATATAACCCCATGCAACAATTTGAAAAGTCACTGGGCTTGGCACGCACTAGCTCACCCACTTTTTATCAATAGGAAGTGGCTATTGAGTTTGCCTCAAAAGTCATTGTCGTTGTCAGGTGGGGCAAGAATTTGGAAGTGAAGGGATTTGTTTTGTGCACTGAAAAAACTGAAACATTGCATTTAATTAATTGTACTCTGTCAACAAATTACACATAATTGTATTAGTTAACTTAATATGTTTGCTTTGAGCTAACCTCCAGTTATGTGTGATTTTTTGACATAATACATGTCAACGTTTACATTGTTTCAGAGTAGTCATCATTTTCTTAGAAGGTTTATGTGTCATTAGATGCAATCTGTTGTTCTAATTTGATGCCATAGTTATAGATATTTAGCTGGCTTATTGTTAGGGTTATGGTAAGGGCTTGGGTTCAAATACTTTCCTTCATCTTGCTCCCCTTTTCTCCCAAATTTGCTTCAAATGTTATCTCTAAGTCCTATTTTTACATTGGCATTTCTTTATTACCTCACCTGTGCTTTTCTACCGCCGAGCAGAACAGGTCTCTCCCTCCGTCAGCGCCGATGCACAGTATATGAGTTTCTGTGTGCGTGTGCATCTGTTCTCAGAGTGTGCACTCCCACCTCCCTGTTGTTCTGCTCAGAGCGATCAATAGAAAGCGAGGCTTCATCACAGAGAGAAAAAGCTGGGCTGTCACAGGACCCTGCAGAGACTCAGTGCCCCCCCCCCCGGGGAGCTCCGAGTGTGTGTGCTCACCAGCGCTGTCTCCATGTGTGCTTTTTTGCACCTTAAGCACATCAGTGAGCCAGCCACATAACATAACCCTCACACACTAACACACACATACTCCCTAAAAGCCCCCAGGGTCAAGTCCTTACCTTCATGCAGAGTGCTGTGTCAATGTCACAAAAAGTGTCTGTCAGAGCACATTACATCAGCCTCATCGCACTCATGCATCCCCACTGGACACTGGACTGGTCGACCACTTTAGGCCCCGCACTGTTAAGACACACACAGAGGTGAGGCCGTTCTGTGATAGTAGCATGATGATAATTCTCCTGCACCTGATCTTCTCCATGTAAGTGAACTATCTTCTTCTGCCCGCACAACCTTGGGCTCTAGCTTCTTATACAGCAACTTAAAACCTAATTCAAACCTCACGTTAGGATCCTGCTCACCCTGTTGGATTTCCAGCTTAAAACAGCTACATACTAAATAAGAAGTGCTGCAGCACAGGCAGTATTGTGTAATGTTTGTTCAGCCACAGCTGACGTTAAATTGTTTTTATGTTTATAAGGGTTGAGGATAAACCACATTATTTTTATATTCATACATTTCCAACTGAAATCCCAAACTCCAGATGTAGAATGTGTACTTCTGTATTATTTATGCTTTCACTTTTCAAGGAAAACTCAATAGTTGCTTGGCAGGCTGCCAACTCCCTTACATCTATTCCAAACAGGAAGTGCATTATTAAACAGCAGCTAGTGGACAGGCAGCAGGTAGAAAGGAGGGAATCCTCACTGACAGAGCACTCACATGCACTTAGTTAAAGTCCACAGAGAATCGTGTTCATCATGAATACATGCAGCCGACCTCCTTTAGGAAGCTTCTTCATGCTACACAGACATACAGGCACACATCTGTACATTTAAACTGACCTCTTCAGACCTCTAAAGGCTACAATGTGTTAGTTAAAGTCGATTAAATATTTCAAAAAGAGGAGGGGACTGCTCTGTGTAATAACCTCTCTTTCTTTCCGTCTGCTCCGCTGTTACTTCCCCTGTCTACACACAGAAGATTTATTTTTAAATGTTGAAGTTAAAACCATCAATCTGGTGCACTTTGAGAGCAAAATGAAGAGATCTACTGTATGGATACATCTCTCAACATCCATATGAAACAGAACTGCAAGCAGATTTCTTTTTCTTTATGGATATTTTAAAAATCACTCCCCTTTTAAACTGTATTCTTGTTCATTAACCTGTTAAGCCCTGAGCCTGTTTTTCAGGTCTCAGGCTCGAAAATGACATTCCCAGAACAAATGACCATATCTTCCCTTCTAAAAGGGGTAAATTAATAATCTTTTTTCTCAAAGTAATGATAAACCTGTGAGTTGGATGTAGAAAAGTCAGAATCAATATAGATTTTTTTTATTTTAAAGTAAATTCAGATTGAACATAGTAAAAAAATGTAAATGATAGTGTCCGTCCAAAAATAAAACATTACTTATAGTGAAAACCACCCTTGAATGATGGGATAGTAGACTAAAAGCTTTATGAATCCAAACTATAACATATAATAAGTACCCTGTATCAAGATTGATGCAAACAAGGGACATTTGACCTTTCTAGAGAGGTTTACCAAAAAAAAAACACCTCTGGGGTCATTTGGGTGGAAATGGGTGTATTTGCCTTTTCTCTGGAACCCATTGGCCGATTTTGATGATTGACATCTCTTTTGAACCGTTAGAGCAGGGGTGGGGAACCTTTTTCCTCTCAAGGGCCATTTCAATTTTTACAACATCCTCCGAGGGCCGTACAAATGATTGAACTCAACCTCTGCTTAAAAATACTAAAATCACAGCCCATTCATTTTGCCTTTCTTTCATGCTGTGCAAAGAAAAAGTAACCTCTTAATCCAGATATTTTACCATGACTCGTGCATGCATGCACGTGCACGGTTGTGGCATCACCACCAAAACAGAAATATATGGACACAAGATGTGTGCAAATGTATTTAGTGTCCTATCCATGTGAACATGATTTAAGCAGGGGGTGGACCTAACCTCCTCTAGGGGGTCCGGGGGCATGCTCCCCCGGGAAGATTTTTGTTTAAATGTTGAAGTTAAAAGCATCAATCTGGTGCACTTTGAGAGCAACATGAAGAGATCTATGGATACATCTCTCAACACCCATTTGAAACTGAACTGTAAACAGATTTCTTTTTCTTTATGGATATTTTACAAATCACTCCCCTTTTAAACTGTATTCTTGTTTATTAATAAGTGTTCAAGGACTCTGACCTTGGCCAGGAAAAACCGGCACTCGCTTGTTTAATTATTTTGCGGTCTAGATTTCTTTCATTTTTTTTGTTTGCGTGTGTTTATAAATTACCTCGAGGGCCGTATCAAATGGTCTCGCGGGCCATATACGGCCCGGGGGCCGGAGGTTCCCCACCCCTGATCTAACATCACAAAACAGAAAACTTCTAGCATTTCTGGAAATCTCTAGAAATGCTGTTTATAATTCTGAGAAACAAGAGAGAACAGTGTTAGGTTGCAAATTAATGTCCGGTTGCTTGGCTGTGAGGATTTGAAATGTCTGTGTTTGGGGACTCCACCCGAAAAGCACAGTGAGAGAAATAAAAATAAAAAAGCGCATTTAAACAAATGTCCTTTCAACAACTGCATTTTGAATGCTGCAAAAAGCTCATTGCAGGGTCACAGAAAAGCTAGGGCTTAACACGATTGTAAATGCACACACAGACAGAAGAGTTTGCATTTTGTTCCCAGGTTATTAATTATTTCAAGACATGAAAAAGCAAGTTCAGGTCATCGATCAAGTAGTTACTCCATCAAAAAATACATTAAACAAGGACCAACTTTAGGGAAGAGGTTTGGGAACACAAAGTGGATTTTGTGGATATTTTAACTGAATTGGAAGAACAACTTTAAAGACTTCTTACCTTTCCAACGTACTGAGGTTCAGGTCCGATGTGTTCTTCCAGAACAAAAAACTGGTTCCAGATCCAGCTTTTCTTCGGCCGATGTTTGGAATCCTTGTCGTTCTCCAACACCTTGGTCTCGTTCTTCTTTACTCTGATTGATCCTCTTGAGTTTGTGAATGAGACCTTGGGGTCGGATTTGGCATTTGTATATACTTGTGAACGTCGAAATTCCGATTTAGGATTGGACAATGAAGCTGTACTGGCATTGTAGTAGGTTCTCGGGTTCATTGTACCAGACAAGTCAGACTTTTGATTAAGACTAGACAATAAAGTAGTGTTGAGAAATGACTGAGAATTCTTAGTTACTACCTTAAAGTTGGAGAATGCTTTTGGCGTTGACTGCGACAGTAATCCAAGCCTTCGTTTTGTATTGGTTTTAGGAATGAATTTTGAAGATTTCTTGGGAACGTTTAAATAATTTCTTTCCAATTGATTAGAATTTGAATTGTCTACCAACCCCTGCCTCGAATTAGAACTCTGTTCTCTGGATGCATCCTGTAGCGTGGGTCTACTGTTTGACGTTGATGTGTCCGGGGAGATTGCAAGTGGAACGTTTGTGTTGGCCCTATGGTTGTCACCGAGAAAGGACATGGTGTCAAGCCTTGGCTTTACCTGTGACTTGCTCTGGAGATCTTTGAGTGAGCTCAAGAGCGGACGGGGATTCAGTGGAGAAATGCTTTTTTCAGAACTGGAGCTAGGCAAAAGGGTTGGTTCAGGTGTTGACTTTAGCCGTGGATAAGGGAACAGGCTTGGGTTGGGGTTAGTGTTAGGGCTCAAATCAACACGGGTCCCATAAGAACTCTGTGCGACAACACAGAGGAAGACCAGAGGACAAAGACAGGAAATTGCAGACCAACCGACTGGAACTCTCATTGTAAAGAAAGAACGATCAGGAAAATTGTCCCCTCTCACTTTCAATGCGTCAAACCACTGTGCACTGTGGGCGCAAAAAAAGCACACCCACAATACACTCAAATGCACAGGTGTACAGTCCGTTTGAAAGTGTGGAGTAGCCTGGAGTGTCCATGTGGTCCGCTCAAAAGATTCATTTTGTACAGTTCCCTCCAAAAAAATAAATCCATAACCTTGATCTTGATGTTTAACTTTGTAAGGAAAAGAGATGTTTCTTAAGATGTTGTATTTTTCTTCCCTCCACCATTGATCCAACAGGTGAGAACCAATGTTTAAAGGGTTAGGGTTAGTAGATACACCCAGTCCATATACTTGTAGTAAAGTCCATGGTAATCCTCAACAACTTAATATCCACTCTTTCCAAAAGCTGAAGTCCTTTTTTTTCATATTAAAAGCAACATTTCAAAAGCTGGTTGTTGTATTGAAGGCTCATCAAAGGTGTGCACTTCCTGAAACAGAGAAAAGGAAATCCATGAACAAAGGCCTTCAAGTACCAGAAAACAGCAAAGTTTCTTTAAATAAACAATCGGTTGGGTATAAGACAATTTGTTGACATTCTTAGGCATGTTATTCTTTTAGCTTAATGCTGGTTGGCAGCTTGAAAAGGATGACATCTTTGACAAGCAAAACGTTTCGCTTGTCAAAGTACATTTCAACATGTCTGGTATAATTACTGTTTTGTCAAAGCAAATGTATCCAGGTCTGAAAATATGTATCAAACATGTTGGTTATTTAGCAAGGTGTAAAACCATGTGAAGCATTTAGCTAAAGATTAGCAGGAATGACTAAGCTGGACAGTTTTTATTCCAAAAAGTGGCTGTGGGGAAAAGTGAGCCACATGCTGATGGGTAAATTGAGCCAGTGGTTCAACTTAACCCCCATGAGGCACTGAAGTTAAAGGGGACCTATCATGCAAAATACACTTTTGTACGTCTTTTATACATGAATATGTGTCCCCGGTGTTCCAGGGAACTCACCAAGTGTCAGAAAACACAACCCTCTCTATTTTCCTCCATACCCAAATCTCTAAAAAAGGGGCTGCAACGGATCTGATAAAAACTGATCCAGATTTGAACACTGTCCTGACGTCAGGACGGTGGCTCTACGGCTATTGGGCCAACTCCACCAATCAGGAGGAGACAGCCACGGCCATTGCCGTTCGAAAGCGCTGGAGACGATGTAGTACATATGTGACCCGCTCTATCGAAATCAGTCGGAAGTCGCAACGGCTCATTTCAAAATAAACCAGGATTTGCGTAAAAAAATAGTTTTTCGGGGTTCGGGTGTTTTGTTTGATTTTAAATAAACAAAGTCTTGGCTTTCAGAATATGAAACTTTTATTTCCAAAATCACACGATAAATACATTTTTGAAGCTTGTAAAGGGAAGATGACAGCTCTCCTTCGCCACTCTGCTGTTCCGTAGCGCAGCTTCCCCTCCCTCCGGCTGACATTATGAATGTAAGGCGTATAGTAATCATAGATAACACGGCAGGGTCCGTTACAGTTTGTTTTCATCTGATTTCAATTAAACAAGGTCTTGGCTTTCAGAATATTAAACTTGTTTCAGCAAATTCAGATGATAAATACAACTTTGAAGCTTGTAACGGCATAGTTACAAGCGGAGAACGGAGTAACTTAAAGTCACAGCAGGCATAACAACAGCCGGTGTTTCTCCTGAGTGTTTTCCCCGGGAATCAAACAATACACAGAAACGCAAAATTACACAAACACACACACACGTATACACACACACACTCGCGAGCTTCCCGCAGAGCAGCAATCCAAACGAAAATATCTTCCCTCCGTAGTATTTTGATCATTTGCTCCGCTAATAATCAATCAGATCGATGGATTCCAGAGAAGAGGAAACTTTGAAGGCCTTTTTCTCAACATGATGACTCGGTGACAGTCATTATATAATGTGACGTATTTTGCTTAATATTTGGAGTACAAAAACAATCCTGATATCATTAGAAAGCTAGGAATCTCCTCTTTCCAACAGTGTATACAACTCAAAATGTGTCTTTGGGTCAATGCGACTGATTTCGATGGAGCAGGTCACATATGCCAGGCCTGTAGGTGGTGCTGTTCTCACAGAATCAGCCATTGCAAAAACAGGGCTAAAAAAGTGCAAATTGAGCGAAATGAGGCATGGCTAAAATGCATGATCTGTTTGGTATTTTGAAAAAAAAAAAGTATAAATATGCCTTATATAGGTATGGTCCTACACTATATTATTAAAATATAGCATGATAGGTCCACTTTAAGTTAAGTCTCTGTAGTATAAAAGTGTATTTTAATGTAGTTTTACACAACTGATTGTTTCTTGTGTTTTAAACAGTGTAGAAACAACAACATTCCTGTACTAAACAACTGGAGAGAGAATGGTTTAGCAGGTAGGGTGTGAAGAGGTCACATGATCCAGTAGTTCAGCTAAGGGTAACTGGCCTTGTGTAAATATACAATCTTGTTAGAATGAATTCTATTCTGTTAGGTCTAGATTGGTTAAATAATTTTAAGGAATGCCACCATCTTTCCTGCCGTATGCCTGAAGCAACATCTGGAGAAAGGGCTACAGCCTTCAATACAACTACAGTGATAGAGAGATGAGAGAATAACCACGATTGATAACATGAATAATTATCAATGACTAGCCTATTTAAATCAGTAACGTTTTTTTTTACTTAAAGTGGACCTATCATGCTATATTTGAAAAATATATTGTAGGGCCATACCTATATAAAACATGTCTGTGAAGTCTTTTTTTCAAAATACCAAACAGATCACACATTGTAGCCATCCCTCATACTGCTCAAACCCCTCTTTTGCAGCCCTGTTAGAGAAACGCAGATTTTGGGTCCTTAGCTTGAAAAAAATAAATAAGAGGAGGCGGAGCTAATGCTTGATCAGAATTCTACCAGAGATAAAGTTAAATTCGGTTGTGATAAAACGCCATCCTGTTTAAACCACGTCAAGGATTATTTCTGAAATAGTATGGAGCTCAAATGCTTTTTCTCTTGCAGGTTTATCACAAGGTGAGTTCTTTTTTTATTTCCTGCTTTTTAAACACATGTGCTCTTCAATACAGGTTAGCTCTGAGTGTTAGCGAGGCTTGCTAATGTAAACAAAGACGTCCAAAACACGTCAGGCATTGTTTCTGATAGCAACTTTCTGTGGGTCTGCCGACGTCACCACGGATGGACACGTCAGTTCGGATGGAAATCTGTATCCGCTCGTTGTACACCCGTTTTTAAAAGATTTAGGTACGGAGGAAAAGAGAGAGGGTTTTATTTTCTGACGCTGTGTGAGTTCCCCGACGCACCGGGGACACATATTTATGTATAAAAGACATCACAAAGTGCATTTTGCACTTTGTGATGTCTTGATAGGCTGCAACGGATCTGATAAAAACTGATCCAGATTTGAACACTGTCCTGACGTCAGGACGGTGGCGCTACGGCTATTGGGCCAACTCCACCAATCAGGAGGAGATAGCCACGGCCATTGCCGTTCGAAAGCGCTGGAGACGCTGTAGTACATATGCCAGGCCTGTAAGTGGCGCTGTAGTCTGCCACAAAAGCAGTGAAGAAGACTTGGTTACCATGGTTACCCTTCTGTTTATTCTCCGCTGTGGCTTTCTTTCTCCCTCCCCGAGGCAAGCGTTTGCTCCCGCTGCTTTAATTCAATGCAATCCCTCCCCGTCGAGGCAAGCACTGTAATTCTCTCCGGTTAGTCCACCAGCAGATGACAAACACGCACCTCTCCGCCTCTTCCAAGGACAGAGGGGACCGTGCGGCAGAGTTTCAGTTTCAGTTTGTTTCGCCGGTCAAGATGTCCGTTAAAGTTGAAATCTTCCGGACAAAATTAGAAAAGTGCCGGTCAAAGGTCTTCTTTGATATTTTATGAGCTTTAAAACAAATGAATAACGACTCTATATAATAAAACACGGAGGACAGAGATCTCTTTTTCTCCCCCTCTTCTGACAGCCCAGCAGCTGATCAGAGCACGGCTCACCTCTCCTGCAGGGGGGCGTGGTCAGCAGAATCAGACCCGTAGACAGCAAACAGCACATAGAGCGAAATGAGGCATGGCTAAAATGCATGATCTGTTTGGTATTTTGAAAACAGAAACGTATAAATATATCTTATATAGGTATGGCCCTACAATATATCATTTCAATATAGCATGATAGGTTTCCTTTAAGCTCAGGTTTAAGCTTGAAAAAGTAAATTGGACAATGTAGCCCTTGATGTGGATCAACTTACCCCTTAGATGGGGCAAGTTAAGCCACAAGACAACTTTTTTTTTAGAGGTCATATTTCCATGGCCCTTTGTGATAGATGCATTGTTTTCATTTTGATTGAAAGAAGACAAAAGGTAAAGGTTGTTGTTGTCATTTGACTTCTATCTCACTTTTCCTTGCAGGACAACATCAGTAAACATTGGCTCATCTTGCCCCACTATTCCCTACATGCTTTAAAATGCTATTTCAACAGATGGCCCACCACAGTTGTTTAGAGTTAAGCTTTACATTGTGATCAAGAAGCAGAGGCAAAATACCAATAGAAGAAATAAAAGTCTACTGTTGCATTTCTCATGAAAATGATGTGTTTCTTAGCATTTGTACCATTTGAGAGTACTTAGGGTTAGGGTCATGGTTAGGGTTAGTCTCAAGGGTTGGGGTTGACCCAAGTCTTGAGGAGTTACATGGACTACAAACTGATGCAATCAGGTCATAGTGTTACATTCAAGCAGATTATAATTTGGCAGCCAGTGTCAAAACCTTTTCTACTAGAACCAGGAAAGGTATAAAGATTATAGGAAATGTATTCTGAATTGGTGTTCAGCAAAATCATTAAGATTCACCCTTGAAGACATTCAATGTTCGCGAAATTTGACTTCTTGGTGTTGCTTTAGAAAAAGTCAGAAGATCGCCTAAGTCCTTAGGATACATCGTCTT